AAGTACTTCCTCCCGGTCCTCTTCTTTCCTTTTCTGTCCAGTATTCACGTGATTGAACGGCGTGCTCTTCCTGAGTTTTTCAATGGGAAAAACAAATCCAAGACTCCAGAGATGTGAGTGACATGTGCTGATGGGATGCTGATACCGCCACATACTTGGTGGGGCTGGACTTCAGAGAAATTGTTTGGCGGGTTCCTGAAGCATGCACTGAGTTAATGTTTGCAAATATTTTATTCCGTTCAGAACAGTGTTCATATCTCTGCTGCACAGAATTCCTGACCTCAGGGAAATTGCTTCAGATTTTTTTCTTTCTCAACCTTGAACTACATACATGTCAGCTCTTGCAGCTAAAGTTTGAGTTCAGTAATGATTTTTCACTAAAATTGTTCAGGTTACTTTGTAACAGTTCCCACCTTATATGTACATAGGTGTTATGAGCTATAGATACTTATATGTAACTAGAGGCCTGGTGCATGAATTCGTGTACCAGTGGGGTCCCTCAACCTGGCCTGCGGGATTGTGCTGAAACCGGCTATCTGACATCCCGTGAGGGTCCTGGGTTGTGAGAGGGCGCAGGCCCGGCCAAGGGACCCCACCGGTGCACGTTCGGGGCCAGGGAGAGACGCAGGAGGTTGGCCAGCCAGAGAGGGACCGAGGGAGGGCTCCAGGGCGTGTCCGGCCCATCTAGCTCAGTCCAGATCAGCGGGACCCCAGCAGCAAGCTCACCTACCAGTCAGAGCATCTCCCTTCTGGTGATCAGTGCATGTCATAGTGAGTGGTGGAGCAGCCTTAGCATATCATTAGCATATGAGGCTTTGATTGGTTGAACTTCCAGCCGGACAACTGGACACTTAGCATATGAGGCTTTTATTGTATAGAATAATTGAGGAGAAAATGGAGTTTTCACCTTATTTTTCTGATGAATGACTAGTCCTTAAAATGATGCCAGAGAGGACGATACAGCTGCACAGGAATCGCTCTTCACTGCGTGACGTATGGTTGTGCTTTTGCCTTGGAAATAGTAAGACTTGCTGGGAAGAAGACGTTTGTCAGGACATATGTTTTGCCTTTGCCTGGGGACCGTTAAATACACACTTCTAGAAACCCTCACCCCGAAATAAGTCAGCACCAATCATACTATCAATATCTTCCCATTTATCGTCTTCACAAGAGGTCCGGTGCATGAAAATTCACGCACTGGAGGGGGGTCCCTCAGCCCGGCCTGCCCCCTCTCACAGTCCGGGAGCCCTCAGATCGGGCAGGTGACGCCCCCATCACACCT